GAGTGCAGAAAACACTTTTCTAAGTGAGTTTCCCTCTGCACATGGGAACAGAGGGTCACTCCTTTCATTACTGCTGGGGGATGGAGGGGGTGCAGGGGAGCTCCGTCCACCGAAGCTCTCCCCTGCACTCCAAGTAAACGTACCTGCTTTGCCTGCGCCTGGGCCCCGTCGTGTGCAGCGTCGGCGCGCTCACCGTCGTTCATCCTTCATCCCAGCCCGCGCTACGTCATTCCTTTGTGTCGGGCGTAGCAAGGGGCCGACATCATACCCATGACGGATCATCTCAGCTTGTTTTCGCATGCCGTTCCTTTGGTCTGGAATACTTGGCACAAAATTTTCATCTCATTTTCGTCATCGTCATCGTCATCGTCATCATCATCATCATCATCATCATCGTCATCGTCATCATCATCATCAACAACATCATTATCATTATGTTTCATTTACCAACACCCCGCCCCACCCTTCTTTGCTTTTCCTGACCTCTTCCCTTTGCCGAAATCCTACAGTGTGGAGCTTGGCTTTGGTTGACGTGTGGTATCTTATGGTTGTGCGCGGATGGAACAAAGTTTTACGCTCGGCAGTGTGCGGCAGCATGCGCGGGTTTGGCGTGGCGTGGTTCGGCTTAGCTCTTGTTTTTTGTGGTTTTGTGGGTTTTTCAGGCCGGCGGGAAACGGCAAGTGCAGCGCGTGTGCGCGGTTTTTGGGCATGAGGATATAGGTGTGGCGTAGGCCCGGATTAAGGTTTTAGCTGGGTTTCTAAGGCTTGGGTCGCTTGTGTAGAGTTTGTGTGTTGCACCAACGGTGCAGTGGCATCGAAGTGGGTGCGGCGTGGCGGGGTCTTGGAGTTTGGGTTGCAGCTTGTAGGATGTGATTCTATAAGACATGGTCTTCTTAGCAGATATGGTGCTCGTATTCCAACATGACAGAAATGGTTTGGTTTCCTTGTGCGTGATGCGCCATCCGACACCCCCGTAACCATAGGCAGCATGCGAAAACAACACTCGTGCGGCGCTTCTTGACCACACTCCGTTGCGGCTTGCTGGGGACAACTGCGTCCAAGCATATGGTTCTTAGTGTATGGCCAGAGCATCCATGCTGCCAGCCTCAATGACGATGGTTCCTAATGATAGTGCATGTCACGAGAAGTGTTTTAGTGTCAATTTCAAGAGTGTCGGGTGGTGCCTAGTGCCAGAGGGCCTTGCTGTCAGTCTGTGCAGTGTTTTCGCGTTGTCGTAGCCTTTCAACAAGCGCATCCATGCTGCCTGTTATCCATACTTAGGATTATTTATTCGATCCCCAATCATCTCAACGAGAGCATCCAGGTTGTCAGGTTCCCAATGCGTGCGAACCAGAGCACCCATGCTGCCCAGCGTTTTGGATTCGTTCAGATAAAGTTGGATGTTAAGGCTTTGGGGCAGAGTGTGCTTTTTTAGGGCATGAGATTGTTGGCGGTACGGGGAGGTTTTGCAATTTGTGTTGGGGCTTTGGTATTCCGTGCCGTAGATTCTTTCAAGCAGGGTAAGGTTCAAAGAATCCAGACAGAAAGTAGCTTGGCTACAACAATTGCAGGGCTGGCTGGATCTTCCTTGCAGTCACTAGCGACAGCTTGGCCGCATACTCGTTGCGTGCCTCGACCTCAGATTCCCTTCTGCAGCTGTCCGAAGATTTGCTTGAAGCTTTTGCTTGGCTCCAGATTCGATGGGGCGATGATGCCGTGAAGCTGAAGGCCTTGCTTGCACCTCATACTTGCTTGCAAATGAAAAGTTGCGAGAGGACGGGATTCCTGAGCGGGGACATCTTTCACCAGGATTCTTGCGTTGGTTTGCATTGAATGAGGTTTGGAATGCTGGGGCCCGAGCCAGTGTGTCGTTGCTGGCTGCTCTTTGACTGTCGCAGCAGCACACGAGAGATCTCGGGAAAACCAAACCAAGTGAGGGCTAGACTGCTTCAAGGATGATCAGCCGGTCGCCGTTCGTGCGGAGGCTGTGGTGCACGACCCAGAAATCAATTACTTTTAGCCAGATGCAGCATCGCACAGACACAGCCAGATGAAACTACAGTCGCGCACTCTTCAGACCCGGGAGCTCTTCAATCATGACTCTCAGACCCAGGCTCCCAAAACCGAATGCATCATCGTCAGTGCAGTAGCTTCATCCATGCAATGCAAAACCAACGGCTTCTGTCAAGCAGTCAAGGCTGAGCTGTGTAAAGAAGCTTCAGCTGCCAGTCAGAGGCTTTCCGGCCAGCCGTGGTAGTGTTTCATGGCTTTCAGCAGTTGTACCTGCCGAATCCTGGCGACAGCCCTCAGCGGTTTCGATTGATTCTCGCTCTGCTGGGTCGCAGAGGCTGGATCCTTCGGCCTCTGCGTTCGATCGAAGAGAACAAGGAGAAGGCACGAGTCGAGTGGACTGTAGGCCATTAGAGGAGTGTCATCGCCCCTCCCTTGCCAAGTACTCTTGAGTCTTGAGATATTCTACGTTCGTTCCTTTCAATTTGTTATTGTCATTGTTGTTCCGCAGCCATCCGCATTTCTTGTGACATGGTTCAACTTCAGGGTTGCTCCGGAAGACCAGAGCAGACAGAGGCTGGTGTTGGCCGACAGCGCATCCTGCAGTGGTGTTCTCACACACCGAAGCTGTGTAAGTTGATACCGGAACACTGACAATCCCGATGTATCACCGAATGAAGAAGCAAATGGACAGTCCTTCAACCCTGTTAGGGGAGGAGGCCAAAAAGAGGCCACTGCCTCCCTCAGTACTGTGTTCGGCCTAGGTGTGGAGTGGCGCCGAGGGTTTAGCACCTTTTTGTTTAAAGCTGCGTATTCCACTGCGCAGGCTTGGGGTGTCAGCGTTCCGGGAGGCCCCCTCCTTTTTCTTCGCCTCCTTGGGATGATGGAACCAGTTTGATGCATCCTGCTCGTGGCGTGAAATGGGGAGGTGGCGGGGGGAAGGGGGGTGAGGCTCTGAAATATTTGAAGGCAGCTTCGTGGATGTCGGAGATAAGACCTTGGTGGTTCTTTTTGGGATGTCGGCAAAACTTCGCATTTCAAGATAGTCGCCGTTCGCAAAGTCGGCATGGGCCGCGAAACCGTCGCACTCCTTTTCTCTCGTTTTGGCAGTCCGAACCAGCTGTTCAGGTACCCGATGCGTGAGCAGGCACTAGTTGTTCTGAGTCCCGTTACCTCTGCATGCGCTATCTCCCCTGGTTCATGTGAGATGCAGCACATACTACAGTACGTTCTACAAACTTGCTGCGCACGCTTTCCACGGCCAGGTTTGTGGTAAACTAGCAAATGACCTGCGGTGACGCAGCCCATGTTCCTTTGGTGTTCGTTTTGCTGAGGGAGCTGCGCGCGGCTGCCTGCACCCGTACGTGCAGCTACTTCTTCCCATGGTTCCATGAGCCGACTGACCCTGCGCCTGGAGAATTTAGTAGGCTCTGAATGGAACCCCAGTATCAGCCGTAACTGCATTGCAAAGGATGTCAAAAACCAACTCCAGACTCCAGACGTGCAACTGCCTGTGCGTGACCTTGTCCGGGCCAGCTCGGGACCGGGTTGTGACTACGGCCCCGTCTGTGCGAAATAGGAACTGCCCGTGCAAATGCAGTCTGTCACAAGATTTCTTTTGAAATCAACAGTCTGGAAAGGACTTTCCGACAGTTTGGTATCCGATCCCAAGTTTTCAGTTCTGTGGAGCCAAGACCAGCTAGCTCACCTCCTTCCTAGGCTCTGTTCTATTTCAGGGTTGAGCTTGAAACGGGTTCAGCCCTGCAACGGCGGGGACCGACACCCCTCCCCCAGCAAGAGCGTACTGATGTTTGAGCAGGGTGCAGGTTGCAGGCATTGCAAGACCCACTTGTGACATTCGGGCGGTGCTCGAGACCTCGACACGATCCACAGGCTGCTAATGTTCATGCTGCATATTATCGCCAGGGCTCACTACCTATGCTCTGCTGCAGTCCGTCGTACAAGTCTCCGATTTGCCAAATCTAGTATCATGTGATCGTGAGAAATGGTTGTTGTGTACGTGTGGCTGTAGTACTTCCTTGTTCAAGTGTGATTCATTGCGATTCGGATGCGCAACACTGTGCACAGCTGCAGCACCATGTTTTTTGCCAAGGTTGGAAGCCTTGAGCCAAGCCTGGGGCCTGCTGCAGCGGCTCAGAAACAGTCTGGGGCAGCATGTTTGACATGTGCTTTTGCTCAGTGCTTTGAGCTGTTGGGCACGTGGGGACCTGGTTTCGTAAATGGTGGTTGGAAGGGTGGGGCCTTTGACGAAGATGGAACCTGCCTGAAGTCTGGACTGAGCTCTTCCTGCAAAGTACTGATTGTCTTTCCCCAAGTGTTTCTTATACTGCAGGGTGCTGTCAGTGCGGAGTTCTCTCACACCAGTGCAGTGTTGCCAGGCACCCCACGTGGCTGGAAGGAAAACCTGGGCCACGATCTGAGGTTTTTTGTTCATCCGCGGAAGTGAGATTCTGCTTCAATTTCTGATAGGCGTCGAGCACTTTAGCACTGCTTCCAATCTTTTCACAACAACTGTATTCACGATTCTCTCACAACGGTTGCAGCCACCCGGACAGTGCGGCACCGCCGTTGTAAACTTTACAAGAGGTCCGTACAAAGTCCATGGTTGCAAGCGAAGTGTCCTCGTCCAACAGAGCAGGCCCACTCCTCGCCCGGGCAGACTCCTTGTCATAGGACGGCTAGCCTGTTGCTCGGAATGCTGCCTGCAAGGATGCTCATATGCAGCAGTGGCCAATGCATCCAGGGGCGTGGGTGCAAGCTTAGCTGCCCGAAGCTTGTCAGTATCGCACAGCGCCGGCATGATGGCACAACACTTTCTTAAGGCCATCGACATCCCCTCGGAGAACCCTGGTGCATCTTTGGAGCAGAAAGCTGAGACTGACAGACCCGATGCTGAAAAACCTGGACGGGCCATTAAGTGTCTGGCCACGCAAGTGACTGAGGGTGGGTTTGCTGGGACTTTCGCAGCTCGGCGTGCACGGATATGTTTCAGGGCAAGTTGCTAGCTTCATGAGCCTCATCAAACCTGTTCACCCCTGTACCGTGCTGCGGCTGCAGATCAATGGTAGAGTGTGGTGCTCGCGACAAATGCTTTTGACGGAATCGCAGGCTTCTAGGAACATTGGCAGAGCTTCTGGTGAGAGCAATCCAGCAGTGCTGCAGTTTGACGGCCATGAAATTCAAAGCCACCATCGCTGCCATCAGTCATGGGCAGCCCTCCTTGCAGGAGACCGTGCTTAAAGTCCTGCAGGCGTTGCATCGCTTGCAGCGGAGCGAGAGGCGAACGAAAGGCTGCCCCAGCGTGGTCTTAAAGCTAACTCCTGAGGCTTTTGCGTTCTGTCACAAAGGGGGCGCCGAGGAAGGGTCTCAGACCTGGAGCCACTTTCAGGTCAAAAGCCTTTTCAAAGAGTACCGGATTGAGTCCAAGAGAGACAACAAGATTGACCTGGAGGTTCCCATTGCCAACCTCCTGCACGTGTTCACCAGCTGTGTGAATAGTGATTACACGACCCTGCGACTAGCAAACGGAATGAATGACGGGAGACCTGTCTTGAACTTTGACTTCGCGCTGGCTGGCAATGCAGCTGACCACAGAGTCGAACTTGAGGTGCCAGTTCGGGTAATTCCCGAAGCTGAAGCTGAACTTATCCGTGAGCCTGCGTTGCCGGAGCCCGAGTACCAAATCGACTTGCCTGGTTCGGTGAGCCGGCTCCGTAACGTCCTGGAGCGCATGCGCCAAGTTGGAGCTCAGACTGTGACAGTGGAGGCAGCGAAAGAAGCTCAGCCCAGAGTGGCCCCTGAGGGTGTGACAAGCACTCGAGAGTGGAGTTGGCTACGTTTGAAGGCCGATTCTGACCTTGTCGAGGTTGCGACAACATTTCCAGGGTTGTCTCTCATTATGGATGGCAAGGGTGCGAAATCGCCAGCTGGTCCGATTGGGCTGCACCTTTCCCTCAAGAGGCTTGCCGAAGTGATGGCAGCCGTGCAGGGCCTTGGTGCCGATGCTCACATTGTTTGTATCATTGAACAGCAAGCCTTGGTGCTTTATGCGCTGCTGCCCTCGGGGCTGGGTTCCGTGATTTGCTACACACCTGTGATCACAGACTAATGCTGCAAAGAAGCAGAACAGGTCTAGGAATTTGCAGCACGATGCGAGAGAGAAAGACTGACTGCAGGGCAAAGCCCCGGTCAGAGAGCAAGAGCATGTGAAGCAGATGTGTGCGCCAGCTGTGCTGGAATGACCAAACTTCTAAACCAATACAAACTAGTCGTCCGCCTTCGAATGGGGCGTGCGACTGAGGCCTGGCAGCTGGTCAGCCAACACGTCGGAGAGCAGACTGCACTGGAAATCTCAGAAATATCATTTGATGGCATTTCGTCGCACATTCTCTGGCAGGAGTTCGTGCTGCATGTGATCCTAGACGACGTGGTTACACTACCAGAGGTGGAGCTTTCAGATTGCAGTGCCTGCAAAAAAGATGTGGCGGTGCGAGGAGCAGACCGTGGTCGTGGATTCGACCTGCCCTTGCGCTGCGCATAACAGGACATTGCTTCGGCACTTTATCCCATGCAAGGCTCGCTCCACCCTGCTGTTCTTCTGGACCCAAGCTTCATCGCATGTGCCCTCGTGCGAGAGCCCACGAAAGATGGGTCCCGTTGTATGGGTCTTCAGGTACCGGCATTACACTCGTTTTTCGTCTGGGTCGCTGCGGATTTTTCTCACCCCTCTCGGCTGCGTGCTCAAAAATCTTGATATTCCACCGAGATTTCTTGAGTTTGCGCTTGTCCCACATGTGGCAGGTGCGGGGCAGCTGACGGGTGCGAAGCTCTCCGCTCGTCGTAAAGGTGCCTTACCGCGATGATATGATGGTCTTAACGATGTCCACCAACCGACCTCGCAGGCGAGCCTGTCTGGTTCCAATCGCAAGAGGTGATGCAGGACCTGTGACAAGTCGAGCTGCGACTGACGTTTTCGGGTCGAACGATACAGATGCTTCGAAGGAGAGAGTTCTGCAGCTGTACATCAACCTGCAAGACATGTCTTGGCTATTCCTGCATGTTTGGTGCCGGTCGCAATTTTCAAGCAAAGTGAAATGTCGGAGTTGTGTTGAAGTCGTTGTGGTCAGGCTTGTTGAGTCAACATTGAGAACATGAGAAGCTCGGAGTCCAAACTTATTCAGCATTGCTGAGAGCATCATCCTAGAAGCCAACACGTGCACACGCGCGCACACGCGCATGGGATGCGTGGGTACGGCTTCATATCGGCCAGATAACCGCAACCCGTCTGGGGTTGGTGCGGCGTTCTTGCTCCCAGGCATGGTTTTTGACCGGAAAGGGTTTGTCTCGCAGACAGCAGACATATCACTATGGCGATGCCACATGCCTGAACATGTATTTTACCAAGGCCTACACTCAGTGCTATGCACTTGCGCCTTCGCACTTCACTACGTTTCGTTGGTTGCGCTCCGAAGTGCTCGCTGCAAGTGCAAGCGCAACTAACATTCCAACCACTCTGTTTGTTCGATATTTAGCAGCCTGTGCAGCCGCATTCCATGACATCAACAAGAGACCTGCCCGGAAGAATGGTCAGTGTCATAGCTTCAGTTGGTGATTCTCGCAGTTTTCAGAGCCAACACACGTACCGGTTGTTTGTGTACAGTCTGTCGAGGCATTCCGACTTTCGTGGGGCGAACCGGTGTCTGTGTGTACACACCTGTACATGGCGACCATTGAGTGAGACCGTAAGAGATACCGCACGGGGGTACGGCTCTCCGTACCCAACGAAGCTGTCCAGCAGAAAGGGAATCCAAACCTGATCAGCTTGGTGTACCTGCGAATAGGCCAGCCCAAATTATGCCAAAAAAGCTGTTGTCTCCACAACTGGCCTTCTGTGATTTTGTATGGTTGCCGCAATCTGTCGTCGTGTGGTCCTGTCGGTCGCTCACCGCAGTCATTCGTGCCGAGCTGAAGTGTGTGTGTGTGTGT